TAATATTGATTTATTAAGCAATGGAAGAATTCCCTTTAATGGGAGAATTCACCATCGACGACTGATTCATCAGGGTTTTAGAATGATGCGATCTTTTCATCTCCTCTTTCTAGTGGAGAAGAAGAAAACAAACTTTCCATCTTTTTTATTGGCTAATCTGTTTTTTGAGCCTTTGACCGTTTCTTATACGGAACTGTTTGGATAAACTTAAATAAAACATACTGATATCAAAAGCGATTTTGTCACTACCGCAAGTTGTGGTCCCAGATGCTGAATCATTGTCAAACTGCTCAAGTTATTGAAAAACTTTTAGGTTTAAAGTCAGACTTGTCATGATTTTACATCTGAAAAAGATGGGAGGGAGTTGAGGAAAAATATAAATCATCACTTTATCCTCTCTGTTATGAAGTCTGCCATAAAACAGTATTATAACAGTCATGAAATAGGAGTATACTTTCATGTTCTTCATAATTCAAATAGGAGATTAAGAAATCGTTCTTGTTTCAGCATTTCCATTTTGAGTGAAATGATGTATAATTTTAAGCAACTTTTGATCTAACAACTTGTTTTCATTTTAAACAGTATTTAAAGATTCAAGGTGAACTTATAAGGCAGCTGCTTTTTCTAAGGCAGCAAATCCTAAATTAAACAGGCGTTGCAAACCTCTCCGTGAGGGTATGTGCAATTCAAGGCAGTGTATTGTGAATCTTGCTGTCTTGAACAAATTCTCTCTCTTCATCTCTATCAGCCATGAACTGGAAGATGTAATATGTCCTCTGTTCAAATAAACTATTCTTTGAAAACACTATAAAATTAAAATAAATGAAATATTAATTAGTAGATTTTGAAATGATTTTTTTCTTTCTTTGATTTACTCTCCCTGAGATGGGAATTTTTCAACTGCTTTGACCTGGTAGACAGGCAATTGGAGGTTGGGAGCTGCATTTCAATTTTAATTGTGGTTGAATCCACTGAATGCAGTTAAGCCTGAAATAAATCGGAATACTTTTAGCTGGTTTCTAGCTAAATCGTGGAACTTTTCTGAGAATTAAATATTACTGAGTTTAGTCCTTCGTTCCTGTATTGCTGCTTAGTGGGATTCAGGGGATTCATTTAGGGAAGCAAACACAAAGCACTTACTGAAAATAGGGAGTAACATATGGAAGGATGAGTGTGGATCACCTGCGTGTGTCTGCATTGTTGATAACAAGTGTCACGTTAAACATGCTTGAATTTCTGCTATTTTGAAATAAAAGGCTATGTGAATAGAGTCACATAACGTTTTAGCTTAGTAATACTTTTGCGTCTTTATTGTGTACTAGTCTCAAGCGAATGGGCAAAATTATCTGCCTTAAACTATTTCAGTATGGTTTTCCAGCTCATTAAAAGTTACAGTTCACTGTTGAAATTGAAAGATGTATTAAGTGGGGATCTGTTAATGATCTGTGTGATACAATAGTGAATGCTTATTAAATCTGCTATAACTGAGTGGGAGGAGCTTATAATTGTTTTGAACAGTAGGAATAGAATTGAGAAGTATCTTGACAAACTGGAGAAACATTCTGGAAAAAGTACAGTGATCTTGAATAAGGACGTGTGCAAGGCTTCTGTATTTAGGCAAATACAGAATGAGGAATGGTAGTCTAAATATTAGTTGCCAAGCAGAGATCCAGAGCTTCAGTGCCTTGTAACTTCTGTTCAAAAGCTTTAGTGCCATGCTGTAGAAAAACCCAAAAAGTATTGAGCTGTGAGAGTGCTAATTAGAGTGAAAAGGTTGGGTCATGTGTCTTTTAAGCTAGACTTCCATTTATAAATCACAGTTGGAGCATTGTGACTTTCTGGAGTACTCTTTCAAGAGAGTGCAACCTTTTGGGGAGAATGCAAAAGAGAAAAATGAAAATCCTTCAGAGAGCTAGAAAATATGGCTTACAAAGGAAAGCTAAAGGATTTGTTGCTTCCATTCATTTTTTTGTTATTCATGTTTAACCTGGTCTTCAAATATGTAAAAGTCTGATGTAGAGTGTTTTAATATCATACACAAAAAATACACGTGCCTAGAGGGGATCTAGGTTAGGCTGCTGGTTTAGCAATCTGTAGACCCTTTGTTGTCCATGGACCATGAACGATAACTAAGCATGCGTCCTTGCAATGAAACTTAGATCTGTTCTGCAGAGATCCAGACCTCCACTACAAGATATCGTGAGATATGATTTGGGAGTGCTTTGCTTTTTTATTTATAGAAAGCTTTTCCTAATCTCTTGTGATAAGGAGGCCTGTAAAAATAGATGCTGCAGTGGTGGAAACTACAAAAGCTCTCTACATAAAGATCTGATGATGTAGGTAGAAGTGGCCAACTGCTTTCTCCAATGTGAAATGTAGGTAATCTTTGAAAAAGCAGCATAATTGGGACCTGGAACCTTCAATAAAGAATTTTTTGGATTTGGGGAAGAAATTTGATTTCCTAGTGAAGGTAGCTGTTTGAAGTATCAGGATTGTCAGTGAGGCCTGGGAGATCTTTTTGAAGTAATCATTTGTTTCCCTGATAAGGGCAAGGAGGAAAGTACTTACTCAAATTCAGGGTAGATCTGTAAAGAGTGTTGCAGCTTTTCAGTGTTTTTTTAATTTTATTTTTATTTACTTTTTTATATTTTATATCTGATCCAGCTAAAACGCTATCTCATCCAGTGTTTTGTCCACAGTGGCTAGTAGTGGAGTGAGAAATAGCGCTCTGGATTTTTCTTCCGAGCGGAGCCACGTAGAGCGTTTAGCACTCGCAGAGTCCTAAGGGAAGGAGCTCTACAGCCTAACTATGCGTTGAATGAAGTAGCAGTTCATTTGTTTGAGAGTTGGTGATGCTTGTTTTGATGCTTTCTGCTTTGTGTTTAAGAGACTGAGAACAATCTTTTCCCGTTTGCCTTTCTGGTGCCACTCATTAGGTGTTTGTAGACTGTCCTATCCTTTCTGTAGTCTGTTTTTCAGGCTGAAGAATCATAATCTGGTTGCTTCTGGAAAGGAAGCTGTTCTGTTTCTTGGATTGTCCTTGTCACCCTTCTCTGCCTTTTCCCGTTCTGTATGTAATTTTGGGGGGGATGAGGGGCCTAAAGCTGCACACGTTGTTGAAGGTAAGAGTGCATGATGAATTTATGTAATGACATTAATCTTTCTATATTTCTTTTCTTTTTCCTCTTAACTCCATATCAATTTATTTTCCTCCTCCCCTGCTTTTTTAACTACTACTGCTAAGCATGGAAATTGTACTTTCTGAAAATTCTGTTAAGGTCTTCCTTGAGCGGTTGGTACAAGTTACTTTTAACCCTGTAATGGATTTTAAGTCAACTTAACAGGTGTTGTCTCTGAATAGCATGTTTCTGTTTATCAGTGTTGTGTAAATGCTATCTTGTGCCACTAGAAACAGCTCTTAATGCCTGGTTCCAGCAATTTGTAAGGCGGATTAAAATGTATATATGTCAAGCTGGTGTCCAGCCTCGTTCAGACTTGCCTGAGAAAGTAGTCAGAGGAAAGAGGTAGTCATATCTGAGACTTCGGACAGTCGTCTTTTGGGCTTACTACTAAGGCTGTTCTGAAATAAATTCCTCCTGATTTGCTGTGAGTGCTCTTAGTCCAGCACTGGAGAAATACCTCTTCATCGAAATGGTTGTGGTAAAATTCATTGTAAGGTACTTCTAGTCTGGATTTAGAGGATTTATACAAGAATGGCTTTTATTTTTACATTACTCCAGTGCTAACTAATTTGTTGTTCAGAAAAGCCTCGAAGTGTACATTCCCACAACAAGTGTGGAAGTATTACTGATGTCCTGACATCTCCTGTAATAGTCTTCAGTTCGTTTCCTGAAAAGTTTCATGCTTTCCAATGGCAACTAGCATTAGACTTCCTTGCAAAAGTAGTCTGTGTTATGGCTGGAATAGTGTTGGGTGAACTTCATTTCGTTTACAATAAAAGCTGTGGAAAAATCTATGTTCATAAGCAACCTTTTGTCTTCATTCTGGTGAGGTTGCTAGTGGTTTCCTTCTCTTTGTTGCTGGTGAAAGAGATACTTTTGATACCTTTTTGTCCAGCTGAGAGGGGAAAATAAATGTTCCTCTCTTGCAGCACTGCTGAATATGTTCAGTGCTCTTACATTTAATGTTGAGATAGAATAAAAATGTACTACTCAGTAGATTAGTATAAAGATGATGTACCTGGATGTAGACATAATGCCTACTGAACTGTAAATAGCAAGTTTACAGCTGTTTCCTTCCTTGCTCATCTGTGCCTCTGCCCCAATTAAACAGTTTTCATTTTATAAATGAGTTGAGGAGAATTAAGTCTCCAAGTGTTGACTGGTTGTTTTGTAAGAATATTTGAGAGGTATCTTGATGGCTGTAATGTTCTGTGTGGTTTTCGGAGGTAGCTGTGTTGGCTCCTTTTCTCAGGTATGCTTGGAAGAAAACTCAATTGCATTATAAACATCTATCTGAAGCCTTTCAAAGTAATCTTAGTGGGGGGGAGGTGATTCCCCCCTCCCCCCAATACCTTTGAAACATTGACTTTAACGATTGATTTGAAATCCATATTCTATTAAATTTCCTGATTTTTAGTATGAACACTTTAATTCCTGTTTAAACACCCCCAAGGTGTTACAAATTCATTTGGAAAAGCAAGAGAAAATGTCAGAATCCAGAACTATGTCTTTACAATATTGTTTGTATTCAAAGGCAGGATATGGTCATTTGCTTGGTATTTACCAGCTTTTGAAAAAGCTGACCTAGCTTAAAACATTGCTTGGAAGCCTGATGACAGTGTGGTTTTGTTGGGTGGTTTTTTTGTTTTTTGTTTTTGGGTTTTTTTTGGGGGGGGTAACTTGGGGAGAAAGTATATTTACTGGCTAGAACATAAGTCTTGAAACAGTTCTGTTTTCCAGACTTGCCCTTCCCCATCTGACCTCTGATGGAAAATGACCTAACAATTCTTATTGTTGAGCTTGATACTGCATATGAGATAAGGATTTGAAAGCGTGGAAAAGATACTATGGAAGTGCTATGAAAATTTTTTTTAAGCTTAAGGCAAATAAAACCAATAGTCTTTAACAGACAGTATCTTTTTATATTTTAATAGTTTTAGAGCTCTGTAGGTGCAGTGTGGGTCTCAGCTAATATCACGTTATCTAATCCTACCTTCTTACAGTTTACTGCAAGATTTGATGTTGTTCAGTGTAAAGAATCTACCTCAGGACCCTCCTGTTGTAAAGACTTCTCTTCAGTATTGCACTGTCAGGTTTTTAAACCTGGTATGTATGCGTGCTGCTAGAAAATTTAGGAAACTTTCTGTCAGTTTTCTGTCTGCTCTGGGAGTCTTAAAAGGACAGTAGTTGAATTGTGTTCCAAAAAGAGATGATTTGAAACAGATTTTCGGTAATACTGTCTAATAAGATACTTATTACAAATAAATATTTGAACAGAGGTTGAGTATATGAATTTTTTTTAATATCTCTGCAAATACATGAATATATGTATTTACAGGGAAAAACACTACCCTGCATTTAATGTGAAATATGTCGATCTGTTAATGTTTCTGTAGGATGAACATAGAAAAAATATTTTTCTGAGTCACAACACTTAAATAATCTTCCACTGGGTCATAAAGCAATGAACATTACTAAGCAAGATAATAAAATACCTTCATGAGTCAAGAAACAATTCCTGACAATCTATGTGGGTTGAGTGGGTTTGGGTTTTTTTGTTTGTTTTTTAGGGGTTTTTAGTATGAGAATAGGACTACTATTTAGATGTGTTGCTATGTCACTGAGAAGAAAGGAAATGGAAGTCCTCTGGGGACTATTGAAAGAGTAGACACTTATGAAGTAGCATATGTACATCATCATATACTGTGATGGAAAAGAGGCTTGTGGGAATTTAGTGGCACACACACATGTGTTGTACTATGTATTTTCTTTTATGAAGAAGATGCTTTTTTTTTTTTCCTCTAGGATAATTGGCTTTGGAGGGGAGACTTAAAGCGAGCATGTGAAAGCTATTGTCATACCCGAAACAAAACATGTTGTCTGAAGTGTCTTTTCCATGATGTTAATGTGGCTGTAATATTTTCTAGTAAGGAGACCTTCTCATACTTACCATGAAGTTTTTCTGGGGACCACTCGGTGAATTTAAGAACCTGATTTGGCTGTTTCTGTGTGCATGTGCTCTCGCTTTCCGTAATGTACAGGCTCCCTCTCCGACATGCTCTCCATCTGGCTCGCACACTCTCTTCTCCCTTCTTCCCTCTTGCTCCTGTATGCACTCTCTCACTCCCTCCCTCTCTTGCTTGCATTCATTCCCTCTCTGCCTCCCTCACTCTGTCTCACCCGTGCTCTCTCCCTCTATCATATAGTGAGTAGTCGTAGCCTTCAAATAAACTATTACTCTTGCTTGTTTCCAAGCGTGCATCTCTGACGAGTTTGTAATCTCTTAATAAAGAAAAAGAATTCTGCTATTATTATAAAGCTAATAGAACTTTTTCCCCCACCAATAAATGTATCAGTTTATTTGACAGCATGGTATATACCTATTTCTCTTTAGAACTAATCAGTAGGACTCCTTGTATACTTTATAGTGCAACTAAAATGTATGAATAAAACTAGTAAGTGCATTCAGAGGGAGTTTTTTGTTTGAAGTCTTATTCCATCTCACGAAGAAAGTCTCATGAACATTGACAAAAGAAGCTCTTTAAAGAGTTTTTTTACAAACAGTGTCATATAAAAACATTTTTAAAGACAATATATGTTAAAATTTAAATGCCTCAGGATTTGGAGTACTGTTGGAATGTTGGATGTTTTTCTAAACGGTCTGTAATCTGCCTTAAAATAGTCTAACTTATGTATAAATGTTTTAGTTTTTAAAACTAATACAAACATTCTCAGTCAAATAAGGGGGAAATGATGTCTCCCTGTGAAATGAGTACTTTCTCTGTGAAGGGACAGAAATATTCAAAATTATTGGTTTTTGCTGAAATCTGCAATTGGTTTCTTTTTCAAACGTTTTCTTTCTGGCCTTTAGAGTATTCCCTGCTTTCTGGCTTTCTTTGTCATTATCATAAGTGTTTTGTGGCTGATAATGCAGCTATCTGTTAGCTTGCTCTGTTAGATACTCATCTATTTTCTTTGTTCACTTTCTGATGATCTAGTGTAGTTTTAATTCTTTGGGCATATCTTAGTCTGTCAGCTGAGAGGAGTAACAAATTCATGCTTGGTGGAAATTCCACAGTAAGATCTTTGAAGTTTTATTGAATTCTCTTCCTTTCATGTTTTGTACTTTCAGGAGGTATTCCCAGAAGTCAGTGTTTTGTGGATACCACTCTAACCTTATTCTCCAAAAGGAGTTTGCAGACTTTACAGATTGCATTTCCATGTACATTTGCTTTTATAAAAAGAACTTGGTCATCATGTAAAATTTACAATAGTATTTGCAATGAAGATCAAGTCTCAAATCAAATTTGGGATAACTTGTTAGATGTGCAAACAGGCTCTAATTGCTTAGTAAAGTAGAATATATTTGTTTTGATTAAATCCTAATATAGTTAAATGTTAGATTGACATCAAAAAGATATTTCAGACAGTCACGAAATACGTTTTAAAAATTAAAATCATTTGAATGTGTTTAATAATATGAAATAAAACTGGTCAAAATAGACTTTCAAGTCAGAGAAGTGTATGATTTGGAGGGTTTTGTTTTCTTCTCTGAAGTGTTAGAAGTTCAAAGGGCGTTTTTAGCAAGAGGGGCACAGGTGTCCACTGCCTAAGTTTTACATGTCTTGGGTTTTCAAGGATGTCCAATGTGGGATACTAGGCAGAATGCCTTGGGTGAAATTTAGGCTCTGTAAATCTGGTATGACTGCTTAATTGGTGACTTTATCATAGTTTTAGTGACTCCCACCTGATACTTCCTTGGTTTACATGTGCACCTTGTCCCTTCACCTTTTTTTCAGTTTACTCTGTGAGCTGCAGTCTTGTTGTTGTTGTTGTTGTTATTATATTACCAGAAAACTTTCAGACCAAGTGTTGTTGCTATTGTAATTATGTAGCCTTACTGTTTTCAAGCATTGCCATAGACTGGTATCCCTGGTACCTTACAAATAGGCAGATAAATTTCAGTCATCATAAGTATCAGAAAGTAATTCCTTTTCCCATAGCATTGTTAACTCCCCTTGGTCCTATAATAGCTAAATTGTATACCAGATTGAACACCTAGGATTCTGCATATCTCATTCTGCTATCCAGCAGATGATTCTAGCATGCGTCCTTCCTTCATGTTGGCAGTCTGTCCGACAACTGTGAAGCCTCCTTTTGTCATGGTCGGATCTTTCCTTTGATATTTTGGTCGTTCTTACGCGTGTCCTGAGACTTAACCCTTGCCTTTTGTAAGTTACATTATGCACTGTTCTTTGTCTTAAAGAAAACTTGGGTTTATCGTGAGTGAGTTGCAAGGCCCTTCTGTATGGGAAGGCCTTGTTGAAAGAAATTTGTATTCTGTTCTAGGCTATACTTTAAATTTATGGCAGTAACCTGTGACATGAAACAAGTCTGATACGCTAGATCTGTTCTGCAACTGTGAAATGACAGCGTTAGGTCAGTCTCTAGGAGTTTCTTGCTGAGATACAGATGTTAGATTCAGGAAAAACCATACTGGTTTAAATGCATTCAGACTGCTTATAATCAGTCTATGACGGTGAACTATAGGCATTGGATCTTACAACTGGCAGGGGGATTTTGAGTACTAAGGAGAGCGCTGCCTAGTCAAGACAGGCAAAGGAGTGCCTGATGTACAGCACTGTACAGACTGTACATTGGAGTGCCATTTAAATTGCGGAGGTTTAACTCTTATGTTTGTTGTTATTTAGTTTCACTATAACCCTCTACTTCTTTTCTAAAGAAGTAGGTTACTGTTAAATTGTTTACATATCATTTATCCCCATCTTTACATAACCTAGTGTAACTTTCTTGTAGGTCAAACTAATCTGAAGAGTCCTCAAGACATTCAGGTCTACGTTGTAAATACAAACTTCACTCTAAGGTGGAACTATACTGAGGATGATACCCACGTGATGTTTTCAGCTCAGTACCGCTGGTAAGTAGAGACTTGGTGTTGAGCCAAATAAGTCTGATGCTTGTTTGTGTTAGAAGAGCAAATTAACTGGTTAATTACTATGGTTCTTGGTGCTACCATGTCTTCTGGAGACTTTCTGAAATCCAGAAAGTAGAGTTCAGGAAATTAAATCTTGAACTGAGGTGAGATCCTGCAGGGATCGCATGTCTAATTTATATGTGAGATTAGACTGTTTGCTGATAGTGATGTGTTATAAATTTAGAGCACATTTAGTAGAAATGCTCAATATTGAAATGGTTCTTGGAGAAAATACACTGCTACAGTTGAAACTAGCATTTAGATTTGTGTGTTCTTTTGTGTGTTTGTGTTTCTTTCAATTGAGCTATGTTTTGTCAAGCCATCTCCCAACACGTATGCACAGAGTTTGAGACAGTTTGCAGTGTAGGTTTTGAAAAACTTTTCAGTGTTTATGAACCCAGATTTCTGATCTGTGAATTTTAGTCACCAGATGAAAGAATTTAATATTTGTTCTTAAGTGTTTAATTAGTTTTCTTCAGTTGTTTTATGTGCCCGTACATATGCATTCCAGTACATTTGATGTTTTGTAGAACTTTCCTAACAAGTAAACGCATAAAAACGCTTCTGAGATAAAATCACTTACAGAGTTCTTTATTTTAAGATTTCTTAGCGTATGATTTTGGATAAAGCTGGGCTGCTACTTCCTTAATATGTAGATGACAAACTGTTTCTCTGGAAATACAGGCTTATTTCAAGAACGTAATACCTGTCTGTCAAAGATAAGATAAAGATAGGAATTGAGGATAAAATTACTTCTTCAGGTCTGAGCCTCTTTTTGGGCAGTTTTTTTTTTTTTTTTAACCTCTGTAGGCACATCATATCTGAAATATCTTTAAAAGTCAGGTATGGTTGTTAACTCACAGGAAACAGAGCTTCTGGGAAGCTGATTACTTTATTTGAACATTTTTTTTCTTTCTCCTTTGGGTGAACTCTAGTTTTCACCTTTGTGTTTTTGCCTTCCTCTAGTCTACATCCCTTGCTAATGTTAACAATTTTCTTTGTTTTGTGTATGCTCTCTAAGTGTTTTTTGCAATTAGTATTTTTAAATGTCTTCCAAGGGATTATAAAATAAATGCCAGACTGGCATCGTGTACTCAGGATTTAATTCTGGATTTTGACAATTCTTTGATGTCCTTCCCTGACATTGCGTGTTTACATGGTGAATAAAGCAAATTGATATCAGATTTTGTAGATTATGGTTAGCTTTGGCTAATAAGGTAGTATAAATCAAATAGTCATATGAATTGTAGGCTAACTAAACAGATAGCACTGGTTATACTGGTGCTGATGATAGATGCCAGAAATTGCTTAGTATTTTTTTTATTAGCATCAAGAAGAAAATAAAATCACAGAATCACAGAATGGTTGAGGTTGGAATGAGAATGGTTGGACTAGAGTCCAACCTCCCTGCTCAAGCAGGGTCCTCTAGAACATGTTTCCCGGGATCGTGTCCAGGCGGGTTTTGCATATCTCCAGGGAAGGAGACTCCCACAACCTCTCTGGGCAACCTGTTCCAGTGCTCAGTCACCCTCACAGGCAAGAAGTTTTTCCTTTGATTGTATGTTGTTCTCTTTTTTTTTTGTTTGTTTGTTTGCTGTTTTTTTTTTTCTTGCAGGTTTGAAGACTTTGAGACAAATGAAAGAGAATGGGAAGAATTGCCTGGGTGTCAAAATGTCACTTGCACTGAATGTGACTTTTCCTCAGCAATAACTGAATATTATGTTAAACATCATGTGCGTCTAAGGGCTGAAACAAGGGAAGACAAATCTCCATGGTCTAGTGTTTTTGAAATGATTCCATATTATATAGGTACGAGCTCCTTATATAGTGTAATATTTTTAGTTAATTGTCCTTCAGCATATTATTGTGGAAAAGATGTATGATTTCCATTGCTCATGTAATTGTAGTAATGAAAGGTATTTTCAGGTCATTCTCTCTTTTTCGGGTGAGGGGAAAGTATTCAGAATGATTCTTTTTCTGACAGAGTTCTCTGTTACTCTGTACTTCTCTGGATTTGGGGAAAATCTTCCTGAAAACAGACTCTTCCGGAAGTCTTCTGGCCTTGTAACTTCTTGTTAGTCAGAATTTGTGTAATACTGAAGCCTTCCCTCAATATTCCTTTGGTTTGTTTGGGCCAGGCTTCCTTCCTTACTCATTTTAAAAGAAACTGTACTGATTTTCATTACAGAATCTGGAAAACATTAATTACTAATATTTCATTTTGACCTCACTCTTTTCAGAATCAGATAACACTGGTAGTTCATTAGGTTATGTTTCTATTAGTTACTGCCAGAGAAGAATTAAAAATAAGATATTATATGCAGTTACCATTTTATTAATGTGAATGACTTTTGGGTAATTTTTCTTAAACAGTTTTGCTTGGGTGCCTTTTTTTAAATTTTTTTTGCAGCTAAGATTGGTCCCCCAGAAGTAGAGTTGCAGTCCACAAATGGAGTAATAAAAATTAAGGTTTCTCCTCCAGAAGCAAATCGGGTCCAAAAAATGTGGATAGATGATCTGAGTTTTAAATACAACTTAGTTATCTGGGAAAACTCATCAAATGCCGAGGTATAGTCATGCTTTGATTTTTATTTTTTAATCTTAAAATAACTGCTAGAAATACACTTTAATTGTTTAATGCTCTAAAATATTTTTGTCATTTAACTGTGTATAACTGTTGATCTGCACTTGAAATTTTTTTAACTACAGAATTGTATTAGATATTTTATGAATGAGCTTTGTATTTCTGTAAATATAAATACTGGAACCAGGTGCCAATGCATGAGGAAGGAGGTAGAGCCATCTCAGTTGGGACAGGAGTCAGATGCAGCTAGTAGGAGCAGGGAGGGGGTAAGAGTTCAAGGCAGTAGGAAGAAACATTTATAATAAGGTATGGGGGGGAGAGATAACATGCTTGCTTGATCTTGATGGTCCATATAGCTTGACTGCAGCTCTCAATACGTTATCTTGTGTCATTGAGCAAATACTTTGTTTTTATCCTGGAAGTTGGGGTGTTGGGCTGTGTGTGTGCATGTGTTTTGGGGTTTTTTTTTGTTTTGTTTTTTTCCTTTGGTGATTCTTTAGAGGTCATAGAACAGAGCAGTAAATTAGTTTCCTAGCCTTCATGTGTGTCTCATGCAGAAGAGTGTAACTATTCTCTAGAGATCAAGGTAGAAACTGTCTGTCTTTTTTTTCCATGTTAGGAGAAGTGCCAGTTAGATTAGGGCAGCAATTGAAGAGATGCCTATGTTCATTTGGAACACCTACTCTGAGACATTAAAGGGGAAAAAGTGTGAAGCTAAGTGCAAGCTGTATACTGATCACTGAGATGCCTGGTCAACCAAGTGGAATGGGAGCAGTGTGGAGGGGAGGGAATGTTCATTCAGTGAATTGAGGGATGCAAGAACACTGTTGCTCCTCTGAGTGTGTCTTAGTATTTGTGCTGTGAGTTAAGCTTTGCACAGAGGGATGCTGCACTCCTTTCCCATTTACATGTGAAAAGGAGAGTGGCATCTTCCTGCCGCTCATTCACTTGGCTAAGCTGGAAAATTACCTCCAGCTCCTCTATTATGCTTTATGACCTATTTTAGCATTTTTGAGGGTATATTATATAAATGAGCTGAAGCCTGAAAAAAAAAAGGCTTAAAAAGTAAGCTTATTAGGAAGAACAGTTATCTTCATATGCTGTTCACAATTGTTTCTTGCAGTTCAGAAGAAGTATATTTCCTACTGACACAATTAATGATCTTGCACCAGAGACTACCTACTGTTTAAAAGTTCAAGCAACTCGTCCTTTGGATTCTCAGGAAGGCTTATTCAGTCCCACTCATTGCATAAAAACTACCCGTAAAGGTACAGAGAAAGATCATTTTATCTGAAAATGTGGTTACTTGGGCTGGAACTGTTGGAAAGTGAATTGTTCTAAAATATTAGAAATATGCAGAAGTACCAACTTCTTACTCATTTTGATATAACAGCAATCTTAAGAGTTATTTAGATTTTCTATTTAAAATATGAATGCCTATAAAGTTGAGCCAAGCTTTAAAAATTGTTTTTTTACAGGCCTGGACTTCCTTAGTCTTGCAGATTCTGAAGAACGGCTTAGTGAAAGTTTGCTTGCAACTAGTGGCTTGTTTTGCATGTGTACATTAAAATTCTTTTATGCACTGCTCAGGTGTCTATTTAAGAACTCTTCAATGTTTATTTTAGGAAAAAAATATACAATGGGAATGCAGAAAGTCAAACATTAGTTTGAACAGGTGGTGCATCAACTTTAGTGTCTCTTCCTCCAAGAGTATGCAGTACTTGAGAAGACGCTTTCTTATGGGTCAGTAAGAGGTCACTTGCTCCTAAGGAGACTTTCCTCATATCCTCCAATAACAAGTGGATTTTAGTCTTTAAAACATTGCTGCTGAAACAGATTTTCCAAATAAAATGTTTACTTGTATCTTTTGCATTAGATCCCTTACTGTGTGCCCACACTAAGTGCAGTGGGGGGTCAGGAACATCTTGTTGCTTTAGATATTCTCTGGCTACTGTACAAGGCCTCTGAGTGCAGGAGAGGCATCTCGTCAGTGTTTGCTGCAAGTATGCTGCAAATATGCTGTATGCTGTGCTGCTGCCAATCCACTCTGAGGAGTGGCAGGGAAGGGGCCTCTTGCATGTGAGCTGGCTCACTTAACAGCTTAGCCTAAGCTAGGTATTGTAAAAGGCTGAGGGCTTGGCCGGTCGTTCTGTGCTGTCTTGACTTTCAGACCCGTAAGTAGAGAAATCGCTTTTAAAAAAATCTGATGTTCTGTTATACATCAGCTCTCCAAAGTTAAGAGTCCTGGTCTGTTTCTGTGCCAGAAGTCCTTGCCTATCTCGGCCTGGAGCCATACATTGCGAAAGCAGTGTCCTTTCATGCATTGGAATTAGGAGTGCTAACGAACAGTGCTACAGATAAAGATGTGGACGCTGGCTGTGATGGAAAATGGGGTGACTTTTGACCCCAAGTGTTTGTCTGCCAGCTATTCGAGTTAGGCTGTTTTCTCAGGGGTGTGCCTCCTTGATATTTCTGCTGAGACAGAGCTTGATATTGTCAAAAAATCCCAAGGAAAAATGGGGCCCATAGATGTTGAGGAAGAAAATAAATAAGGAAAAGAAAAGAGGGAAGGCTTAGGAGGATCTGAAGTAAAGAAGGTAAGATGAGCAGGAGCAGACAGAGGACAAGCATATATAAGGGCAGGAGAGAAGTTTTGTGTTTTTTTTTTTTTTTAAAAAAAAAAAGGCTTGTAGGAGGCTGGTTGTCAAAGACACATACGGCCCAAGTAACAGCCTCATCTTTTTATCTAGCATGCAGGGTGTTTGAGGGGTCCCAGCTTGGTGGTTCTAGAGACTCTGAAGGTGTGGCATGACGTCAGGGACCCACGGGAATAATTTGTTGTGGTAGAATCCCTATGTAGATAGATTCAGGATCTTTGTGTCCACTAGAGAGAGCAATATTTAGTCTAAGACTTTCAGTTCACTCTCCTCTGAGAGAAATCAGTTCATGTATGGCAAAACCACATAAGAATCTGAAAATGGTATAAGGCAGCTGGAGATGATTGTATCAAAAAAATTATTTGTATAAACCAAGTTGCTAGTGTAGACAATCTGTGTGAAAATTAAAATTTTGATCATTTAAAGTGTACTTGTGTGATGGGTTGTGACATGTGATAGGAAATTCATAAACTTAATTTTCTCAAATGTGTATTTTTATTGCTGACCTTGATTTCATTATCTACTTTGTATATTGACAGAGAGATGCTGTAGTTCAAGCTTTGAATGTTGTGAAATCTTAAATACGCTGGAGATAAAGCTGGGGAGGGAACTTAAATTTATCATGGTATTCTTAGACTAGTAAATATGATCATCAAGAACATAACTTTATGTTGACGTGTATATTTTACATGTTTTTTCAGTCAAGTAATTGCTAATGATAATCCTTTATTTCTCATTTTAATATGTCTGTGCTTATTTTTTTTCCTCTACTGATTTTTAACTGATACCTTTTTTTTAGCAATGACTTAAGCTGTATAGGTCATGGACTTAAATTTGCCACCTTAAAATAGTCTTTTTCATTATTAAATTTCTTAGTTATTGAAAATATACCATGCCCATTTATTTAATACAGTGAGAAATTGGTATACATAATGGAAAGCTTTTTAATGACTGTGGGCTTCATTTTCTTTTCATTCTGTGCAGCAAAAGACCTACTTTGTCCAACAAATGTGAGTGTTCTTGCTTTGAACATGGTATTTCATCTTCATTGGAACAGTCAGTACAATCAACGCGTGAGCTATACTGTACAGTATCTCCTGTGAGTTAAACAGTTTCTATATGTTTGTGTAAACTGATTCTGTCATTTTAAAGAGTTTACTGTATTTTAGAAACCGTTACTAGAAATTTAAGCGTAATACTTCTGAAAATGGCTTAACACATTAATTGAAGCATTTGGTACCTTATCTGGGCATAGCGTGACTCTTAAAAGGATTGCAAATAACAGAATTTCAGGATACTTGGTCTCTTTTGAGAATGTTAAATACTTGATGGAATGGACTTCTAAATGTATACTAAATAGCTTTTATAGAAGATGTAAAGTTTGCATTGCTTAGGACTTTTTTTTAGATATGAAGAAATTAGATGACTAGAAGTTGTGAACAAAGTAGAAGTGTTAAAGATGTCAAATGTCAGCATGTTAGGTTACTTCTGGTCAAACTGGAAAAAAAAAAAAAAGTATGTCTGCAAACCTGTATCTTAATGTCTAGTTGTAGCACAAATACTGTGGCCATCATCTGGATGTTTTCTAATTTCTTGACTTGCATTTAATTTTTCTGTTTTATAGCAATAGAGGAGAGATACCTCAAAGCATAGAATCCTTTTGGAATTTCTGGGGCATGTCAGACAAATAATCAACTTAACTGTATGGAAAATCTTAATCTGGATTTTCAGAGTGTTTAAAACCAACATATAATTTTTCTACTGAGGGGGCGACTAAAGCATTAATTTCTATATCTTGCTCCAATTAGCTTCATTGTTTCAATTATAAATAAAAATTAGTATCATTTAATAGTTATCTAGATAAGTATAGTTTTTAAGAATACCATTCTTCCAAAAAGGAAGAAAAGTATGATGCACATGTCAGCTTGTTTTTTCTAGAGTCCATGGACCTCATATCAAAAAACATTAAAACATATTTCTTCTAGGGGGTATTTAAAGACACTTCATGGTGATTACTCAGCAAAGTGGCACCATGTACCTGGATGTGAAAACGTCACTGATACAAAATGCAACTTCACATCTATCATCACTACTACTTTTGGATTTTATTATCTCCGTGTACAGGCAATGAATGAATATAATAGATCATGCTTGTCTAATGAAGTAAAAGTAGATCCTCTGATAACAAGTAAGCAGATGTGTCATCTTAAATATTTTCGTTTCTCAACCAGCTTGTTTATTTTTGCAAATGCTAGCACTATCAACGTGTCAGATTAATAAAATTTAATACATAGTTCCTGTACAGAAACTCTAGTGGGAATCATGGCCTCATCAAGTTCAGTGGGAGTTTTTCCATGGTCTTTTCTAATTCAGCACAGCCAGTGTTTCACTATTTAGAGACATATCATTTGCCTTTTTAAATTAAAACAAAGCACTATGTGGCATTTTATAATCTCAGCCTCCTGCATTAATCATCTTGTGAGACTACTGTAAGTAATCCTAATTTGACTTTGGCCATCAACAGAAAGCAGCTCTTGATATCTCAGAAAAACAATGCAAAAGTCAAGTAATACTGGAATTCACTGCCTGTATTTTCTGTACATCTGCCCTTGTCTCCTCCTTTCTCTCTGTCCTGCCCCAGGGCACCCCTGATACTTGTGTTAAAGCAATATTATACAAACACTGAGCTGCAGTCCTGAAGAGCTTCATGAAAAAGCAATGCCTTAGACATCTTTCTTCTAGGTCAAAAATGTCACACCCTCCACAGTGAAATTGTAGTCATTTTTATCAGTGTTGCCCTGTTTTAGTTTTGTGAGAAATGTAGAAGCTTGCTAAAATGTTTGACTTCAAGTGAGAGTTACCATTCGGCAAAGGTTGAGAAACATTTATCTAATGTGTAGAGTGGCATTCTGTTTCCTTCCATATAGAAGACTGAATCAATAGCTATTTCCTATGTCAGCTTCCCCTTGTCATCAAAGCTCTTGGGAACTAGATAATCCTTTAATAAGATGAACAGGAACCTGGTAAACAACTCTGGAAATGAGAGCAAAAACCGTTAATGCTTCTCACTATAACTCTGTGGAAGAAGGTATATGTGAAAGAGGGGCCTGTCTGATCAGATTAAGAAGCATTTGAGACCATCCTGACCCTTGTAATTTCTGTCTCTTATCTCCATCCCCTCTGCATTGAGCTGTAAGGCGTAAGCATCTACTACAAGTTTGTACTGGGGAAAAACTCAGGGAAATGGAATGTGAATTACTTAAGACATTAAGATTAAACAAAAATGTCAAGCAGGCAAGTCCCCTTTCAAGAACTGTAGCTTAAAAATCAGTTCCGGCTTCTAAGGAAGCACGACCTCCCTAAGGCTTAACTTCAGTAACAAAGGCTAACACTGAGAACAACATCTTGTTTGCAGCGCTCACAAAACACATAGCCATACAAACATGTAGTGTTTCTTCAGAGAATGGAGTGTGTGTTTTCATTAATGAAAAAAGCTGTGTAATGGCACTACTGAGTACTTCTTACCATAACATAAATTATATTTTGATAACGTCAGCTCCGTTTTTCTTTTTTTTTTTTTGGCTCTCTTAAATTAGAGTATCAACAAAATAGTACAGTGTTAGGTGAGGTATTGAGTAGTTTCAGTTTGACTTGCACAGATAACAATCCATTAAGTGTATTTCACGTTGCTGAAACCTGTGCAAGCAAAATATGAATGTAGAAAAAGAAAAGAATTAAAACCTTTATTTTCTCAATTTTAAAAATTGTTGTAAACTTAAATTGCAGTATTTTGTGTGATGTTTTTACTTGCATTTTTTCAATCTCATTTTTTACCTTTTTAAAAAATATCTTAAGATGAAATTGGCCCTCCCGTTGTAAAGGTGGACGTCAGTGATGTTTTGCTCCATATTCAGATTTCTCCTCCGGGAGGATCTGAGAATAAGGCCCTGAGGGACCATTATGACTTATCTTACCGGGTTCTGTACTGGAAGAATTCATCAAATAATGAGGTATGAACTATGTAAATACTTAAAACAGTATATGAAATTTGTTCTGACTTAAATACTGCACTTAAGTTCTCCTCAAGAAGTTTATTTTAAAAATAGGCAGATAAATGGTGTATCAATTGTGCAATTGATCTGGGTGTTTTTCTAAAAGCGTCTTTTGAAAACCTGATCAAGAAGACTGTTATCACGAAGTAATCCAAGAGATTTTAATCTTTTTTTGTTGGTGTGGCTATATGTAATGATTTTATAGAATTGCACTCTGAGTCCTGTGAACAAGCCTACAGATGGCTCACTTTTGAATAGTAGCTGTAGGATTCTTGTGATGCTGTCTGTCTTAGGGTATGACTGTGTACACTGCCTTAATTACTGTGGTTTCTATTTGTATTTGCAGTTTTATAACTATATATGTTAAAAAAGATGCATTAATGAAGTCTTGGGTGCTTTAGTTCACGTCTTAATATATCTTTCCTTATTCGTTAAACCCTTCTTGTAGCAAAATATTTTTATAATAATTAGTAAGCATGTGTATGTGTAAACATATCTAAGAAAATAAGAACACAGACTATATGAAACCAGAAGTAGCTTCAAAGCTGAAATTTCAGCTGCTGATAAATATTTTCAGAATGTGCTTGCTTTGGAGAGGGTTGTGTGCTTTCTTTTATTTAATCCAAATGCAGACTGAGGTCTAACTTACAGAATTACTTCTTCAGTTCAGCAGAGGCCAAAACACTAGTCTAGCTGATAGGTTGCTACGTTATTTATGTGCATCTCTTTTTCTTCTTTTTTGCTTGCTTTTTTCAGGAGGAAATGAAAATAAAAGTGATAAAACAGACGATAGGGACAGTTTCTGATCTAACACCCTTGACGTTGTACTGTGTAAAAGTACAAGCATTCTCAGAAGCTTACAACAAAAGCAGTCATTTCAGCAAAGATGAATGCATCAGAACGCCTGGAGGTAGGAAGAATTTGGGACCTGTTACACCTCAGTTTAGAATCCGTTATCTCAGATTAATAACGGTAAACACAGATACTATTGGAAAGATGTACTCCATATGGTATAAAATTCAGAGTAATGACTATGAGCTAAATTTAGTTCTGTGCAGTGGGTTTTTAATGGGCAAGCTTTAATGTCATTGTTTTTGTGATATTTTAGGAGGGTGCAAGGAATCACTGAATGCTACATTTTCAAGATTATTTTGTTGTCTTAATTTTTCTGTGAATGAACAGAATTTTAAAAAGTCCTATGCTGAAATGTGAGGAGACAAATCATCAGACTCATTAGGGGTGTAGTATTTTTTAAAGATAGCGCCAGAGAATATGTTGCAAATTAGAACAGGGGAGGGGAGAAGGAAACTTACAAGGCTCTTAAACTTGAGCACTGGACAACTTATGACTATTCAAATGGAAGCTTTCTTTGATAACTAAAATATTTTGCTATCAAAAGCTGGATTCTGTCATGTATACTCCTTCTACCACAGGGTGTCAAACTTAAGTCCTGGAATTGAACCTAGCCTGTTACACGGTTTTCCACAGCTCCTGGGTTAAATCAGGAGGGCAGGACCATATCTGATCAACGAAGTGAAATTCATCTCACCATTGTGCACCTTTGGTGCAAAAAACTTGTGCTAAGCTAGTGTCTAGACTACTAATGTAGAGAATTGGTGGAATATCTGGTAGGATTGATTTTTATCCTTGGTAAGCATCTTAAAAAGGGTAGATGAGTTGCTCACTAGAAGATCTTTTTTCTCACCACTGGCTGTGCCTTGGCCATCTAAAGTTTACAACTGGAGTTCCTCACCTCTCCGAGAAACTGTTTGGGTGCTTTTGTGCTCCTGAAGGCCCTGCAAGTCTGGACAGTCTCATCGTTTCCCCGCCAAATAACCATGGGCAAGCTTCACTGTGGTTTCGTTGCTTGTTCTTATTCCATAGCCCGTAGGAATTCTTACTATGACGTCTCTGCCTTTTCAAAGGAGGGAGCACCCTCAAATTGTATTATGTTCCTTAGGATAAGAACCTGTACACAAGCAGTAGGGTAATAGATTTCCATACATCACGTGCTCCATGGTAACAATGTAGGTACAGCCGTTTTGTCCTGCTGTCAAACAGTTGGATCTTGACTGTGCTCCCATATACAAATGCCTGTGTTCTTATATTTGATAAATGTCTTTTGCTGTGTTTTTAATGAAACCATTGTAGTATCTTAGATCATTACATGTTCTTAATGAGTATCATGCCTGGGTATAGCACTATAGAAACATGATATTTTATGATAAGACTTTAATAGATTTGGAGATAATCTATACTTTAATCTTTCTAGTTTATGAATGTCTAAATGTAATATTTTTAATTCACTTTTTTAGATAAAAGGTTACCTCTGATCATTTTAGCAACATTCGTAAGTGCCCTGATCGCTGTCTTGGTTGTGGCAGCACTGATCATTTTTGTCCTGTATCAAGCATATAATCAGATCAAGTATGTGTTCTTTCCATCATGCCATCTTCCCTCAAACATAGAGGTAAGATGAGATTTATTTTTCTCGTTCATTGAACAGATGTATTTTTAGAAAAATAAACTGAAAATATTATGAAAAAGTATTTCTCTGTATATGCTATGATGTTATGGATATTTACCAAAGTTAACTTTACAGTTTTTAACAATAAAGTGCAGGATTCCCTATTTGGGGGGGGAGGAATATGTGCTGTTAATTTCTGAAATACTGTGATAAGCAAAGACTTTAATTTGGGTTTTTTTCTTCTTTTCTGTATGCAAAACTATTGCTAAAGATGCTTCATTCCAGAGAGTACATGGCGTTTACCCAAAGTGAGAATGTGCTTCTGCCCTGCTATATAAGACCAGAAATGTTTTCCTGTTGTGTTATCTGGGAGAGCATGCCCCCAGCCATTTGCCTTTTCCCTTGTGGTGCATGGCACTAAAGGGGAACTGTGTCTTACCATTTCTTCTTGACTGCCAGCTTGATATTTTTTTCTCACCACTAAGCACTTGCTTTTTTTTTTGGTTTATGTTTTATTTTTTTTAACTTGCTGCATTGGGTCTGAGCCTTTCTTTAAAGGCTTCCTTAGAGGAAAGTCATGAATAGCGTGGAGAGGTGAATAGGGATTGATAAGTTGTTTTCCGACTCTTCCATTATCAGAATTAGAGGGCATCAAATTGATTTATTAGGAGCCAGATTCAAAACAAGAGTCTCTTCAGGCAGCGGGACCAGTGGATCTCTTAGCCAAAAGAAGTTGTTGGTGCAAGAACAGTTATTTGTGTCAATGGCATGCTCATAGAAGAGAATCCCCTAAAGGATCACTAAATAAAAAGAATCCACGTTCGGCTGAGGAAGCTGAAGAGATGTTGGGAGTGTTCTTCCATCCTTGTGTTATCTGTGAAATTCATGTTGTATCTCTGACCCTCCTTCCATGTATTTGCATTATCTGAGGAGCAGTGTGTTCCAAGAAGTGTTGTTATTGCCTGTCCTTTAAAGCTCAGAGGGGGCAAAAATGCAAGCCCAGTCTTTAGAGGAAGTTTTACTGTAGCAGGCAGCAGATGCTTCTACTGTTACCTGAGCTAGCGGCCTGGATGGTTCAAGTCCCTTGAAAAGGGCAGATGTTCAGTTTCTAGCTCTGCTTGGCACAGGTACTCCTCACTAGTGATCCCATTCTGGAATGAACTGGGCAACACAAGTGTGGTATGTTTTGAAACGCAGCAGGAACTGCTCTTCCCTGTGCTTTCTTCGATGGCTCTCTGAACAGTGACTTGAGCAGCGTATGGCCTTCCTTCCTAAGGAAGCCTCCTTCTCACTGAAGATCTTAAAAGATGCATAGGATGTAGTGCTTTCTGAATAAAGTTGTAACGTAAAATCATTCTCATAGCTTACAAGGGGTAATCTAAATTTAATTTGCTTATAAAGCAGCACTTCAGTTGTTTGTTCAATAGCATACTGGTAACATAATTAATGATTCATATTTAGTTAACCCTTTGTGATGGATTTGGTATAAATGACCACTTCAGAGAATGAATTTAAAGCATTAGCAATACACTGTTAATTATAGAGCCTTAAAAAGGCTTGGTATCCTGCTGCACCCAGCAGCTCACTTTCTCTTGCTTCCTTCAAACTTTACTTTTCAACTAATCATCATTTGCAGGCTTTGCAAATATGCACGTGTCATCCATTTGCTACCACATGTTCTTTGAGAATGCTCTAAACAGATTTTTCTGTGGTTCTTGAGCTTCTTAAGGCTAGAATCAATGAAATATTGTAATTATATAGATGATTGACAACTACAAACTTAACACTTTAATCCAACTTTTTTTGTTACAGTCATTCTTTAGTACTTTATTATATTAACACGACTAAACTTCATCCTGACTTTCAGTTTATTAGGGAAACAAATTGTGTGTTATAGGTAGAAAGCCCAATAATGCTACAGAATACAATAAACCAGATTTGTACAGCTGCTGTGTTAAGTGGGGCCGTTATTTAGATATTATATGTGACTATCTCTCTCTTTCTCTCCTGCTTCTTTTTTTGCAGGATCTTGGAGGCCAGCCTTTCAGCAGTCTATACCTGATAACTACCGAAGAGCGAACAGAAAACTTTTATATCATCACAGAAGAAACAAATCAAATTGACTTTAAAGACTACAAATATTCTAAACAGAGCAGTCGAGATTCAGGAAATTATTCTAATGATGATGATACTTCAGGGAGCAAGGTGTCAGAAGAAGTGCTAGAAAAGGAAATAGTATAACTTAAGAAAATAAAACTCAAATAGGCATAATAAGCACTTAAACTGTTTTATTATGAAAGTCTCAGCCTAGTCAAGACAGGATGACTTTGGGTTCTGGGTGCTGAAGCTCCCAAACCTGACATTTGCTAGTGGAAAGTTACATTCCATCTCTGCTGCAAGTGGACTCAAGTCAAAAGGCAACTGACTTCTAGTACCTTATACCATTTTGACTGAATTTTCTGCTTGTGATAAAAAGATTGCCATCTGAACAAAGAGGAGTAGATCTGTACGCTTCATGAACTTGATAACATCAGTGAAAGTCTGTTGATGTTCCACAAAAAGAGTCTCTCACTATGTAGGAGGTTTGTTTTTCAATGCCAGTGTGTACTGTGACAGAAGCCTTAAAATCCAGTGTTGAATCTTTGTGTATTTACATAGGCAGGAGGAAATTGATGCTTGATAACAATTTTAAGAACTCTTCTGACATCCTTTCCCAGCCCTCTCAGGGCAGTGTTTTTTGGTTCGGCAGGTCCAGAGCAAAGGATGCAAGGACAGCTACAGCCTCAGTGAGGTGGCTCCTCCGAGCATTCTTGTAGAATCCTCCTTGTGGCCGTTGCTGTGGGATGCTCCTAGTGCCTGCTATCCTGTTCCTGTAGCTGTGTCCCTGCATTAGGGTGCTCTTCCGCAACGCTCAGTGATCTGGGCGGGTATGGCAGTAGGGGGCAGGGGAAGGAGGTTCACTCTGCTGAACTGTTAAGAAAAGTTTAACAGCAGAAGCTCTTTGTAAAGAGAAGTTTACTCAAATTGTTTTGCACCACATGTGGGACAACAAACAAGGTATGTCCAAGCCAGATGCACTTTGCAAGAAGAAAGTACGTATTAGTTTAATGATAAGGCATGTTAAGAGGCATATTCTTGATTTTATTTCTTTTTTGCTTTGTGGCTAGATACCCAGAAGTATAAAATACTTCTAAATGAGTTGTATTTAGAAATGTGAATCTCTCTCTTAACACAGAAGAAATTATTTCTGTAATTGAAAGAAGGACCCAAGTTGCATTAAGAAAATGTCTTTTAACAGAAGGGTGAGGACATCTGTCATTCAAAACTTTCTCAACTTGGTCTCATTTTGCCAACAGACTTTTCTTTACACAAAATACAAGGATATGCTGCAGTGACTTTCTTCAATTTGCATATCACTTTTTAATTCTGTTTTTAAAAGTGGATTATTTTTTATGAAGAAATTTATTTAGAGTAAGCTGGATTTTGTAAGCTTCATGTAGCTTTTTTTATTGTAACAAGCAACTGCTAATTTTTGTTGATGTTTAAATATTTTTTTAATTTCAAAGACATGATAAAATTTTATAAATTTAATGTCCTTGTGTTCATTGGAGAACATAATAAATTTTGCACATTTGCTTCTTTATCCTTTTCTTGATGCCATATTTTTTGGAATATATTGTATAGTGACACTGAAGCTATATTACAGATATCTAGGAAGTCTCCATGTGTCTTCAGTTATAGTGCTTTCCAGGAAGGACAATGTGAAGAATATTGCATATAAACTTAATTAGGGTTTACATAGGATTGTTGCATGACTTAGAAATCAGAAATAAGCGTTGATTCATACTCTGAACTAGGTCTTACAATGAGAATACTGAATGTGAGCATTCCAGTCATTGTGGTCTTTGGTAAATAGTTTGTGAATTGTTGCAAGATACCTATGAAAGACAGTGTGAAGTCTACTGCATTTTTGTGTTCTCTTCAATATAATCCATGTTCTCTGTTTCACTGCAGATTATTTTTCTTAATTGTGACTGACTTCTGCAATAGGATTTGAGCAAATAATGTTACTTTTTTAAAAGCGTGGTTGTAAGATAGGTTACAGCAAACCTTGTATCGGCTCTTTTTAGGACTTCCAGAAGGAGCAAAAACAGGATCTTAAGATGGAAATAATCATTCTGTATATATAATGTCTACCACTTAAGCAAGAAAAATAAGCTCCTAAATACTTCTGTGACCTCATTCTGATATATGCTACAGATGTATCCAGAGATGATGATGGCAGAAAAATAATTTGACAATACTTCCACAGTTCACCTTCGAGGATCAGGTCGTTACAATGCATGAAGGAACTTTGTTTAAATGCTATTTTTGTTCAGTTTCTAAAGTCTTTCCAAAGATTAAGACCCTGAAAATGTATTTCTTTTTCCTTGCCCAAAATGTTTTTAACAATAGAAAATCTTTATTTGGTATGGAAGAAGCCTGAGGAGGAACTATATTTGATGCTCCCATTAATCTCAGTGGGATCAGACACAGCTGTATTAATAACAGAGTATTTTCAACAGGACAATGTAGGGTTGGATTTATCAGTATCGACTATAAAATTGCAAGTGAGTTAATCAAATCCAGTATGTTTGAACTGAACGTTGTTACCAATGATGATACTGTGAAATACTCAGAATGTAATCTACTTTTAAGACTTGATGTGGGAAGGAGTGATGAAGCAGATGTTTCCTGTCATGAGATTGTTAGTTGAAAGGAAGCTAGCATCTGGTTATGATTCTGCATATTGGAGCACATATTCTGTGACTTTCCCATGACTTCTTGTGGAATGGAATTTCCTATTGAGGGGTGATGGTTGTTTTGTTTTGTTTTGTTTTTTTTTATTTGGTTTTAATTTTACAGTCATATGCTTGATGTTGAAACCTGGGTAGGTAGGTAGGTGTACAGATACGGTCGGGGGGTCATTTACCCCTTTAGTGGTAAATAGTTACTCGATCATCTTTGTTATGATGCTTTACTGAATGGCCATAACTCGTTTCCTGTGCGGTACCATTAACACTTGACTGTCCTTTGTACTGGAGTACTTCACATATTCATAAATGCTATGTACTGCTATTTCACCTTGGGACTTTATTTCAAAGACAAAAATTAGAAGATGCAGGACAGTGTAGAAGTATCCCTCACGTTATTGGGAATTTCAGTTGCTTTTTTGGGAAGGGGAAGCAGAGGAGATCTTCAGAGGAGGAATTGCTGTAGATGGCTACATAACATTGTTCACTTCAGAAGTAAATTTTAGGGGTTTTTTTGAATGCCAGCCAGAGATGATTTTTAGGTAGGATGAGGTTTGAAGGTAAAGTAGTACCTGTTATAGGACCATTTCATCTATCTGAAGAAATGTAGGTAAGTTTTGGGGCGCATATGCCTTTCTTAGGAATTGATCACTTTAATGATCGACCTCTCTGTCGTCTTGTATAGTATTGCAAAGTATGGAAGAATTGTTAGGATGTTAGGATCTAACCTGGAGTGCAGCGATAGGCTTTAAGAATCACAAGGCATCAGAAGTGCCATTTTTGACAAATAGATTATTTGCTGTTGTCTGTGTTTGGTAATTGTAACTTTTTAAGATTTCTTTTAATGATTGTTCATGTACTCGATGTTTTCACATAAGTAACTTTCTATAAATATAAGCTAGTCTGCTAGTTTTTTAACAAGAGATCTTTGCCTAGAGGATCAGCCCATTATTAATTGCAGGTATTTGGATTGAACGGTTGGGGATGCGCATGTGGCATAAAATAAATACAGAGCAAGCCAATAGTAATCATAGTTAGACTTCCTAGAGCTTTTTTCTTTTGATGTTGCCTGCTTGTCTAATACCGTAGCCAGCTGGAAAGTGCATTCCACATGGATCTCAGTGAGTTAGGTATCCAAATTAAACTGCAGCAGTGGTGGTCTTACAAAATTGTTTTCATCACAGATTATATTTCCTAGGTATTTTCTCTCCTACTGAAGGAAAACAAACATCAAAACTGTCATTGTATTTGAAATAACATGCTGTTGAAGGAAAAAAAATCCACAACATTGAGGGCAGTCAGGATACTTGCTTCTATTTAGCTTTTTGAGAAATATTTTGACAAAACTCATATTGCTGAAGTATCTTGATTTCACGACAGAATCCAAAAGATCATGAATCACTGAGCAGCAACTGTCGTTGTCTTTTCTTTGTACAGGGAACAACAACTGTGATACGAGGAAGTCATATTTATTCTGTACTCCATACATGTTATGTACAGACTGTGAGAATTTATTGGGTAATTTTGAATTCATGGTGCCACAATGACTACCTAAGCATCAGCTAGTAATTGGAAAATTGTACTAGTGAAAGCTATCGCCCTACAAAGTCACATTTGATGTAATCTGACAGGGAATTGCATAGAATCAAAGACGTTTCTGCTGGACTATCTACCAACATTTTGTCACGGAGACTCCAAGCTTGAAAAAAACCCTATGCTTTTAACTTCTTAGGGGGTGCAGTTTTTGGCACAAAAGTTTGTCTTGGAGGCAAATAATCTGTCTCCTTCCAGTAACTGTATTCCCTTTCTTTTACCAGTGTCCTTTAATGACTAGACCTGTGAGGTTGGACGCTAAAAGCTCTCAAAAGTGATTTTGTTTTGTTTTGTTTTTTTGTGACATAGTGTTTATAAGCAGTGCTTAGGACCCAATGTTTTGAGCTCCCTCTGCTGGTCTTGCAACAGCAAATTAAAAACCCTCACTCAAAAGTTAGGATGGACAAGGGCAGGTGCAAAATTCAAACAGTCTGACAAAAATACATTTATTTTTCCGAATTCATTAAATAGACTCTTAGTGGTCAAATTTTCAAATCAAAGCATTCTATACTATTGAGCCTTTTTTTCTGCAAGAACTTTATCCTTAGATCCTTGCCATAATCTATATATATATATATATTTATTTATTTATTTATTTATTTAGTTTGGCTTATTATTGGCTTAAACTGGGAAAGACGGGGGAAGTTACAGAGACCATGCAGTCAGCAAAACGGGGCTTAAGTGGGGATACTTCCAGCAATTGCGTGCAGCCAAGGAAGTAACTATAAGACAAGATTACAGAGAATCCTTTTATACCCCTCCTGGGAAATCAGCATGCTCAAATATCTCTCTGAAATGCCTGTATACAAATGCAGGCAGCATGGGGAATAAACGGGAAGAATTAGAGATCTGCATGCGCTTGCAGGGCTATGATCTCATTGCAATTAGAGAGACATGATGGGATAGGATAGCTTGCATGACTGGAATGCTGTCATGGATGGTTACAAACGCTTAAGGAAGGACAGGCCAGGAAGGCGAGGTGGTGGAGTTGCCCTTTATGTAAGAGAACAACTGGAATGTATCAAGCTCTGCCCAGGGGTGGATCATGAGCAGGCTGAGAGCTTATGGGTAAGGATTAAAGGACAGACTAACAAGGGTGACACTGTTGTGGGTGTTTGCTACAGGCCACCTGATCAGGAAGAGGAAGTAAATGAGGCTGCCTACAGACATTCACGGACCCTGGCTCTTACAGGGGACTTTAAGCACCCTGATATCGGCTGGAGGAACAACACAGCAAGGCACAAGCAATCCAGGAGGTTCCTGGAAAGTGCTGATGTTAACTCAGGTGATGGAGGAGCCAATGAGGAGAGGTGTGCTGCTGGACCTTGTACTAACAAACAAGGAAGGGCTGGTTGGAAATGTGAAGGTTGGGGGCAGCCTTGGCTACAGGGACCTTGAGATGGTAGAGTTCAGGATCCTACGAGGAGGAACCAGGGCAATAAGTAGGACAGCAACCCTGGAATGCAGGAAAGCTAACTTTGGCCTCTTCAGGGACCTGCTTGGAAGAATCCCATGGGGTAGGGCCCTGGAAGGAAGAGGGGTCCAGGAGAACTGGTTAATATTCAAGGGTCACTTCCTCCAGGCTCAAGAGCGGTGCATCCCTATGAGCAAGAAGTCAAGCAAAGCGGGCAGGAGACCTGCATGGATGAACAAGGAACTCCTGACAAAACTCCAGCAGAAGAAGGAAGTCTACAGAATGTGGACAAGGGGACAGGCCACTTGGGAGGAATATAGGGACGTTGTCAGAGTCTGCAGGGATGCGACGAGCAAGGCCAAGGCCCACTTGGAATTAAATCTGGTAAGGGATGTCAAGGGCAACAAGAAGGGCTTCTTCAAATACATCAGTAGCAAAAGGAAGACTAGGGAAAATGTGGGCCCCCTACTGAATGGGGCAGGGGCCCTGGTGACGGAGGACACAGAGAAGGCAGAGATACTGAGTCCCTTCTTTGCTTCAGTCTTCACTGCTAAGGCCAGCCCTCAGGAATCCCGGACCCTGGAGACCAGGGAGAAAGTCTGGAGAAAGCAAGACTTTCCCTTGGGCGAGAAGGATCGGGTCAGAGATCATTTAGGCAGACTTGACACCCACAGGTCCGTGGGCCCTGATGGCATGCACCCGCAAGTGCTGAGGGAGCTGGCGGACGTCATTGCTAGGTCCCTCTCAATGATCTTTGAACGGCCATGGCAATCGGGAGAGGTGCCTGAGGACTGGAAGAAAGCCAGTGTCACCCCAGCGCCTTCCAAAAGGGCAAGAAGGAGGAGCCTGGGAACTACAGGCCTGTCAGCCTCACCTCCATCCCGGGAAAGGTGATGGAGCAGCTCATCCTGGAGGTCATCTCTAAGCATGTGGAGGGCAAGAAGGTGAGCCGGAGTAGTCAGCATGGATTCACCCAAGGGAAATCACGCTTAACCGGCTGGATAGCCTTCTGTGATGGGACAACTGGCTGCGTAGAGGAGGGGAGAGCAGTGGTTGTTGTCTCCCTGGACTTCCGCAAGGCTTTTGACACTCTCTCCCATCGCATCCTCATAGGCAAGCTCAGGAAGCGTGGGCTGGATGAGTGGACAGTGAGGCAGACTGAAAACTCGTTGACTGGCAGAGCTCAGAGGGTTGCGATCAGTGGCAGA